TTCTTCTATGTGAAATAATCATAAATACCAGTTTATGCTGTTTGATTGTGGCCTCGAAGGTCGTAGTTGTAAGCTGTAGCCCCGGCTGGCCCATTTAAATATTGCGTGTGCAGTGGAAATGCGGCTAATAATTTCTGAATTCTGACTGGCATATAACCAACAAATCAAACAAACGTAAACGGGCAAAGGCCTATTGTCACGATTCGCAGGTCTGTGGATTCCTCCTTTGTTTTGTGTGTGTCTGTGTGCGTGTTTGCTGTCACCTGCGTTGCTGGGCAACTCATGATCGCTGATTAGCGATCAGGGTCAGCTGGTGATGATCAGCTGCACCCTTTATATTGAGTTGTTGGTTGTTCATTCCCTGTCGGATCGTTGTTCACTCTCGTTCTCTGTTCAGTGTTCTCCAGTCTCCCGTTTGCTGCACTCGACTCAGTGCGTTGTTGGATGCTTCCTGTGGAGTGACTGCCGGACTATTGTGGAACCACCTGTTACTGTGAGGCACTCTCACTTTCTCTGTGGAGGCCGTTGTTCCTGTGATTGTTGTCCGGTTCTCGGTCATCTGCCCATTGTAGTCCCTGCGCTGCTGAGGAATTCTGCACCCTCACATTTCCTGTTGTCTTTTATGCTGTGACCGGTTTGGTCTTCAGAAAATAAACCTTTGAACACTTGTAACTGAATCTCTAGTCTTTTCCTGAATTATCCTGACATAACGATCCGACCAGGATGGATTCAGCAAGTGGATTTGAATGGAGAGAATTTCTTACCAGTAACAATGCTCATTTTGGATCAACAGGAGGAACAGATCATGGCAACGGGTCGTGCGGTGCAAGCCTTGGTGGCGCAGGTGTCTGAGGTAACTGCCCAGCTCCGGCAACTCAAGACGGATACAGCCGGAGCACCCACTGTGCCAGTCCCACCGCCTGTTCCCTGTCCATCTGAGCGAGTGGATCATCATGGCGAGCCTCGTCTACCCCCACCCTCCTCCTATTCCGGTGAGCCACAGCAATGTCGAGCGTTTGTGACTAAATGCTCTTTGTTTTTCACACTTCAACCCACATTGTTTCCTACAGAGCGATCTAAAGTGGCGTTAATGATTACCCTGTTATCTGGACGCGCTGCTCTGTGGGGAACAGCGCTACGGGAAAATCAACATCCTGGCTGCTCCTCGTTCCAGTCATTTACCGAAGAACTAAAGAGAGTGTTTGATCGAGCGGTCTCGGGTCGGGAGGCAGCCCGGGAGTTGGCGGATTTACAACAAGGCAACCGCTCGGTTACGGACTATTCTATTGATTTCCGCACTCTGGCGGCGGAGAGCAAATGGAACGAGGAGGCACAGTGGGACCAGTTCCTGCATGGGTTGGCTGACCGTATCCAAAGGGAGATTTTTGCTTTGGATTTGCCCACTAGTCTGGATGGTTTGATTGAACTGGCGATTCATGTGGATAATCGTCTGCAACGTCGTAATCAACGCACGCGTCAGTTTTCATTTCCTTTGGCAGACTCTTCTCATGTTACGGTCAGTCCCGCTCTCGATCCGGGACCCATGCAGGTGGGCAGAACCTGACTGACCAGGGAGGAGAAGGATCGTCGGAGAAGCAATGGACTATGTCTTTATTGTGGAGCTGCTGGCCATTTTGTCACCAATTGCCCGGTAAAAGCCCAAGTAGTGTGTCTCTGGAGAAATCCTCTTCTGCTACTCTCCTTCCGGTCAGACTACAATGGGCCAATAAATTCTACAACGGCCAGACTTTGTTGGACTCGGGAGCGGAGGGAAATTTCATCTACGCCTCTTTTGCCTTTCAGCTTGACATTCCTGTGGTTAAGCTTCCGCGTTCCATATCTGTTCATGCTCTCGGTGGTCAAGTTATGCCATCAGTCACCCGGAGTACTGTTGTCATCAAGCTCATCACCTCTGGTAATCACACTGAGGAGATCTCTCTCCTGTTAATTGACTCTCCTCTAGTGCCCGTGGTCCTTGGACATCCTTGGCTGTCCCGTCATAATCGTCATATTAATTGGGAACATAACACTGTTTGCTCTTGGAGTAATTTTTGTCATGCGTCTTGTTTGTTGTCTGCTTGTTCTTCTGTTTCTTGTTCTGTGTTACAGGAGGAACCATTGGACCTGCCTAACGTGCCTGAGGAGTACCTAGACCTGAAGGAAGTGTTCAGTAAGTCTCGAGCAGCTTCTCTTCCTCCGCATCGTCCTTATGACTGTGCTATAGATTTATTGCCAGGGACTTCTCCGCCTAAAGGCAGGTTATATTCACTTTCTGTTCCGGAAAGGGAGGCCATGGAGAAATATATTTCTGATTCTCTTGCAGCCAAGATCATCCGCCCTTCCTCTTCTCCTGCTGGGGCAGGATTCTTCTTCGTGGGTAAAAAGGATGGGTCTCTGCTGCCTTGCATTGACTATCGAGGGTTGAACAACATCACCGTTGATGTCTTCGGCTTTCGAGCGGCTGCAGGGGGCTTCCTTTTTTACGAAGTTGGATCTTCGCAAAGCTTATCATTTGGTCCGCATCGGGGAGGGAGATGAGTGGAAGACCGCTTTTAATACCCCCAGGGGGCATTTTGAATATTTGGTTATGCCGTTCGGGCTGTCCAACGCCCCCGCGGTCTTCCAGGCACTTGTCAATGATGTGCTGAGAGACATGGTTGACCAGTTCATATATGTTTACCTGGATGACATATTGATTTTTTCTCCGTCTCTCCAGCAACATTTTCAGCACGTCAGGCGAGTGCTTCAGAGGCTGCTTGAGAATGGGCTTTTTGTCAAGGCGGAGAAATGCGTTTTTCATGCACAGTCGGTTCCGTTTTTGGGGTTTATTGTGTCGTCCGAGGGGGTGCGCATGGATCCCGACAAGATTCAGGCTGTGGTTTATTGGCCAACCCCAGATTCCCGCAAGGCCCTGCAGAGGTTTCTGGGCTTTGCCAATTTTTACTGACGTTTCATTCGTAATTACAGCCATCTGGTCGCCCCTCTGACTGCCTTGACTTCCACCAAGATGACGTTCGGGTGGTCCGTTGCAGCGGATGCTGCATTTTCCAACCTGAAAAGCCGCTTTGTTTCGGCTCTATTCTGGTGACACCCGACCCTTCACGTCAGTTTGTGGTGGAGGTCGACGCGTCTGAGGTGGGGGCTGGAGCGGTACTTTCCCAGCGT